ATCAAACTTAGAGTAAAAAAGCAATCTACAAAATGGGGGGAAATGTTTGCAAACCATATATCTGATAAGGGGTTAATATTCAGAATATATAATGAAATCCTACAATTCGACAACAACAAAACAATGCAATTAAAAAATAGGCAAAAGCCTGGGTGCAGTGACTCATGCCTATAATCCCAGCACTTTGGCAGGCTGAGATAGGAGGATCACTTGAGGCCAGGAGTTCGAGACCAGCCTAAGCAACATAGTGAGACCCTACAAAAAATTTCAAAAGTAGCTGGGTGTGGAGACTGTAGCCCCAGCTTCTCAGGAGGCTGATGCAGGAGGATCATTTGAGCACAGGAGTTTGAGGTTGCAGTGAGCTGTGACGATGCCACTGTACTCTAGCCCAGACAACAGATTGAGACCCTGTGTCAAAACAAAAAAAAAAGGCTTGGAATAGACATTTCTCCAATGAAGATATACAAATTCCAAGAAGCACATGAAAAGAAGCTCAACATCACTAAACTTCAGGGAAACACAAATCAAAACTATAATGAAGTTATCACTTCCTGCCCACTAGGATAGCCACTAACAAAATAATAGATAATAACTAGTGTTGGCAAGGAAATGGAGAAATCAATACCTTTGTGCACTGTTGGTGAGAGTGTAAAATGGTGCAGCTGCTATAGAAAATAGTAATGGAGGGTCCTCAAAAAATTAAAAATGGAATTACCATATGATTCAGCAATCCCACTTCTGGGTATATATCCAAAATAACAGAAAACAGGATCTCAAAGATATATTTGCACATCCATGTTCGCTGCAACATTATTCACAATAGCCAAGGAATAGAAGCAATCTAAATATCCATCATTAGATGAATAAAGAAAATGTGGTATATACATACAATGGAATATTCTTTTGTCTAAGAAAGGAAATTCTGACATATGCTACACTACAGATGAACCTTGAGGACATTATGCTAAGTGAAATAAGTCAGTCACAAAAAGGCAAATAGTACATGATTCCACTTAAATGAGGTATCTAAAATAGTCAAACTCTTAGAAAATAGAATGGTGGTTGTCACGGGCTGCAGTGAGAGGAAGAGAGTTGTTGTCATTCAATAGATATAGAGTGTCAGTTAAAAAAATTCTATGTTGATTAAAGTGTTTATATGTATTCAGCAAAAAACATCTTTGGTCAATGGATCTATAGGATTAAAATGTCCTTACACAGAATGCCTCTTTTGCTTGTGTGCTGTTTTGGATTTTAATTTTTCAAGAAATAAATTATGTTAATACAAAAAAATTATATGAGAAAAAAACAAAGTTGATTCTTTTGTCATAATATAACAAAAATCAAATCCAGGTAGATTATAGATCTAAATTCGAAAGACAAAACAGTGACGTTTCCAAAAGAAAAAACAGAATACCTTCATAACTTTGGGATGGAAAAGATTTCTTGACCAGGATGCAAAAAGCACTAACCATAAGGAAAAGACCAATATATGAGACAACATCAAGTAATTTGTTCATCAAAACACACCATTTATAGCCGGGTGTGGTGGTACACACCTGCAGTCCCAGCTACTTGGGGGGCTGAGACAGGAGGATCGCTTGAGCCCAGGAGTTTGAGGTTGCAGTGAGCTATGATGATGTCACTGTGCTCTACCTGGGGCGATAGAGCAAGACTCTTGTCTTAAAAAAAAAAAAAAAAAAAAAGATACCACATAGAGTGTGAAAAACCACAGAATGGGAAAAGATAGGCTCATATGCAGAAAATATAAGGAACTCGTACAAATCAATAATAAAACAAAACAGATAATCCAACAGAAAAAAACAGGCAAAAGATCTGAATACACATTTCACAAAAGAGTTTATCAAAATAACCGATATGCATATGAAGAGATCCTCAACCTCAGCGGTATCACCAGGGAAAGGCAAATGGAAACCATATTAAGATGACACTATACATTCACCAAAATAAAGAGATTAACATACCGATTGCTGGCAAAAATGAGGAGCAACAGAAAACTCCTATATGCTGTTGGCAGGAATGTAAGTTGCTACTACCACTTTGGAAAACTATTTGGCATTAAATCTAAAATAATCAAATATATATTCAATGACCCAGAAATTTACATCTAAGTATATACCCAAAGAAATGTGTGCATCTGTACACTGAAATACATTTAAAGGAATGTTCTCCAAGCTTCCATTATCAGTAGAACAAATAAATCAATTGTGGTATATTCATACAATGGAATGCTATACAACAATAAAAATGAGCAAATTAGAGTTGCATGCAAAATGGATGAATTTCACAAATGTAGATAAGATTTTGCTCAGCAAAAGAAGCCAGATACAAAAAAACAACAAGAAACAATCAAAAACCCATAAAGTATGTTTCCATTTATATAATGTTCAAAAGCCAGAAAAACAGGTGTGTTAGAAAAATTGAAAAATCTAGGGTGTTATAATAGAAGTCAGGATAAGGGTGCTTCTCAGATAGTTAATGTTTTATGTTGCTAGGTGGTAGTTACACGAACAGATTTGCTTTGTGATCATTCAATGAACTATACACTTAGGGTTTACATACTTGTCCTATGGGTTTTATACTCAATTTTTAAAAATTTTAATATTGGATGGCATAAGAAGGTCTAATACACATCTAATCAGAAATCCAGAAAAAAAATATGGAGAGAATAGTTAAGAAGTAAACCAAAGACCTATTAACTGCAAATTTCCCACATTTTTCAAGATGCCAATTGCTCTCATCAAGAACATCAATAAATCCCAAGTATGGAAAATAAAAAAGAAATCCACATCTAGATACACTGTTGTGACATAACAAAGTTAGAAGAAAAAGACCCAGCAAAGAAAAGCAGAATTAAAAGTAGTCAAGGAAAAGAAAGAGATTACCTACAGAGGAACCACAATCAGACTGATGTAGAAGTCAGAATACAACAGAATATCATCTGAAATAGAATAACTATCAAACAAAGTCTATACCCAGCAAAATTATGTTTGAAGAACTGGCATGCATGCATGCATACATACATGGAAAGGAAAGCAAAGCAAAGGAAAGGAAAGGAAAGGAAAGGAAAGGAGGAAGGAGGAAGGAGAAAGGAAAAATGAAAAAGGAGAAAGGAAAGGAGGAAGGAAGGAGAAACTAAAATTGTTTTCTATCAACAAACTCTCAGTAAAAGAACTACTAAAGGATGTACTTTAGGTATAAAATGACCCCACGTGGAAAATCTGTGATGGAAGAAGAAATGATGAGCCAAAGGTATTAGTAAACATGTAGGTAAATCTAAACGAACACTGACTAGCAAAATAATGATAATATCCAATTCATGAGAAAAAACAGGATAACTAAATTCTGAATAATATAATCATATAAAATTAGACAAGGGATATTCTAATGTTGTTTATTCAGGAGAAGAGTAAAGACATTTATTGATTTTAGACTTTGTTAAATATTCCTGTGAAACCAGCTGGAGTAACCTTTAGAATCACAGATGCAAATGTCTGTCTTCCAAGCAAGTATCAGAAACAAAATGGACAAAAAAACAAAACACTCAGGCAATCCAAAAAATGGACAGGTAAGGAGGAGGGATTAATAGAAAAATGTCGGAAATTTTTTTCTAAGTAGAAAACACAGAATAAGATGTATAAATATATCCAATTATATCAGTACTCATAATAAATAAAAATAGAACAAAATCTCCAGTAAAAACCCAAAATTTGTGAGAATGAATAAGAAAACAAAATCCAAACACCAAAACATGAGGATACAGAAAAACTGGAATTTGAATGATGGAGAAAAATACACCAGGTTAACATAAATAATGGGAAACTAATCAATACTTTGATATGAAGAAATGCCATGTGAGTATTTTAAAAGAGCAGTCTGTAGTGCAAGCAATTTTTCTGAACCAAATAAAGCAGCATAATTGAGTCTTAAATTTATTCTACCTCATTCAATTCAGCTCAGGTCTTCAGCTCATTAATATCCTTTAGGAATTTGATTCTTTTGTCTAGTATACTAGTGTTCCTTTTACATATGAAAATATGATAAGCATGTTAGCAAGGACTTTATGCAAGCCAGCGATAAAAGTGTTTAAGAGGGTAAAGCCTAGTACAGAGCCATGTAGCAAAATAACAGAGGTATTTTTAAAGGCTGTTATCTGTTTGCTCAGAGTGTAGTTGCTCAAGCAATTACAAACCCATCTTATAATACTATTACTTGCATTTTATTTCTTAAATTTATCACAAGCCTACCAATATACATTTTCTCAAATGCTATGCTGACATCTAGATATTTTGTCAATAATGTCTATGCATGAGTGTGTATATACACATCTATACATATATACATACCCACATCTACACATGCATGCACTCTTATATGAAAACATACACACATATATACCAGATATACAGTCATAATAATATCATACCTCATAGGTAGTTCCATAATGGCACGTAAATTGGCATTGTCTGTTGGTTTCTGCATCTTGCTCAACATTGGTATAAAATATTACTCCATCACCAGAGCAGGATACAATCTGCTTATCATTTGTGCATGGTAGGAACTTTGCACTAAATATATTTGCTCGGTGCCCTGAACGAATTGTTGTCAAAACCTAAAACACACAGAGAAAGCAGTTCATAGCAATTTATTACTTTCTAGAAAGAAACATTCATATTTAATATAATCATAGCCAGTAATAAATCCTCATTAACATTCTCATCTCAGTGAAAGATTATCATTTGATTCCAAACTATTACACTCAGAAAAAAATAAGAATCTCACATATTTTCGTTTTGTTCCCTCTGCGATGTGAATAAGATAGAGTATTATCAATTGGAATAGTGCCATGAAAATCAAATATGCATATTTCCACCTAATTGGTTTATGTGACTCACTCATAAAGTCTCAGTAAATAAGAAAGGACTACTTTGACTTTTGAAATTGCTAGATGATTAAATTATTCCTTTTTAGGATAAAGAAACAAAAATAAACTGAATTTTAATGACACAAAATCAAAGTAATGAAATGCTATAAATAAGGATACAGCCCAAGTCCAACATCCAATTCTTTAATTGTATTTAAAAGACCAGAATTACTATGACAGCAAAAAAACTACATCTTTGTTTACCCTTTGACCGGGTAAGTGTATATCCAGGAATTCACCCTTAACATATACCCTAAACAACACACAAAAAAATACATACAAGGTTATTTACTGAGTTATAACAGCAAAACACAGGAGACTTGTTGAATAAACTATGGTACCTCCCCATAAAGGATACACAGACTGAAGGTGAGTAGGGAATATCTGTTGTGCTATTTAAAAGTGCTTTAAAAAAAATAGGAATATGTCAAAGCACAGACACAAAGTTGGCTTAAAATGTCCACGAAACAAATTTGGGACAAGTTGAGCATCAAAAAAATATCAGTGATAGATTATAATTAAAAATAAGCCCACAGTAGTTTTCTTTAGAAAGGTGGTAGGGACAGAGGCAATGCTATTATTTACAGAAGCATGTAAGTTAGTAACTGTAGACAAATGACAATTTAAAAATCACTGTTTTGTCACCATCCAGGGGATGGACACACTTGAAGCTTGGACTTGTGTGGGGGGGGGCAAGAGCAACATACACAACCTAAACATCTGTACCTCCATAATATGCCGAAATAAAAAAAAAAAGCAAAAAATAAAAATAAAAATCACTGTTTTGTAACTACATTATTGTAACTGATTCAAACAGAAATCGTCAATTAATATGAAAACCACTGGATGAAAGGCTGTTAGGAAAGAATATTCACACAGTCTCAACATACCACTTAACAGCTTATTATTAATAGTTACGAATGGTAACTAATGCAAGTATCAAACTTAATATCACCAATAAAAGGACAAACTACATCATGTACCACAATGTTACATGTTGAGAACTTTTACCAAAAATGCTTAATCTTAATCTACTCATGAAGAAACAGACAAATCCAAATTGAGAGACGTTCCATAAAACAACTAGCCTGATATTTCATTATGAAACATATAGAATAATTAATGTAAAGCCTGTAAACAAGATAAATATAATGACCTTAACCCTGTCAGGTATTTTAGGATGGTTTATCAAGTGGTTAACTACATGTAGGTCGCTACATATAGCCATTAATTTCTTAGTCTGATAGGTCTTTTGCTTTGAATTAGTCACATTTTTAGCATTAGTCACAGTCACAAACTCTTAGCAATTTGTGATTTACCTCCATTTAACAGGTTTATATGTAACTTCAGAAACAAAAGCAGGAGCTTCACTACTTCATTTGCCCCTCATAAACTGAACAGGATTCCTTCATTAAACTAATTGAGATTCAGTGAGTAAAAAATTGGGAGCCCATTACTTTTGAACAAATCTCTAGATTTCAGATGCCCCTCTCCAAACTTCCTTCCTTCCAATGCTCCCCATCTCAATGGCGTCAATACCTACCCAGACAGCTGATCAATTCAAAGACTAAGGAATCATCTTTCATTTTTCTTTCCTTCATCCACAACATCAAAGCTACCAGTGAAGTCATGCCAAAATACATCTCAAATTACTTCTCACCACCTCCAATGGTACTATCTTTGTCGGAGTCATCATCTTCTCTTACCTGGATTATTTCAATGGCCTCCTATCTCCTACTTTCAGTCTTTTTCAAACTCTACTCTCCAAATAGCAGCCAGAGCTATCTTTTAAAAATGAAAATTGTATCATCTGCACGTTAAAAACCCTCCAGTGACTGCCCATTTCAATTACACTAAAATGTAAATTCCTTCATATAGCCTCTCAAGGGTGGGAATCCGTGGCCTTCTATTGATAGATCCTTAAGTGTGGCTTTTTGACTGAATCCAAATTTTACAAAACAATCCCTATCTACCATTTGAACTTCATTTTGTACCACTCTCTAATTTATTAACAGATAATTGTTGGAAAAACGAGTATTCATATGTGTATATAGTTAATAATTTCAATGAAGTTTAGAATTTGCTTTTTAATTGTTGAAACTGAATCTATACAGCCAATACAGGTATGTATGCTACTGGAGGTAAACAGCAATAAGGCCGATAACAAATATACATACACTTGGAACAATTATAATTTCTGATAGCTAGACTTACTTACTTAGTTGTGCTTTCCTTGGATCAATGCATTTTGATATTTATTCAGAAAAAAATCTAAGGATAATGCCCCAGAGAGGTAGAAGTTGGCAGAATAACTTAATCTGAGATGAAAATAATATACTGACAACTGCAATGGTTACTAAATGTGAAGGTAGTCTGGTTGTAACATCTATTACTCTGCTGATCACCAGGTTGTTTTGGCTAAATAGCTGGCCAAGCAGGTATCTCTTTCCTTCTTCAT